GCGAATTCGTGCGACGCTGGGCGACGACGTGAGTGCTTCCTACGCGGCGGTGCGAAATGCGTACGCGCTGGCGCGATCATCGCGACGTAGTTCGCTGTCGCAGACGAGTGGCGACGAACTGTCGCACTCGGTCGATCAACTACGAGGCTACATTAGCGCTAGTGGGGTGCGTAGTGTGTAACCAAATGGCTTTACAGTGCTTTTCTCCTCTCTTCCCTTACATACTATAGGCCGTATTCAGAAATTTTTCAAACCCGAAAAATAATTTGATTTTTTTTGCTTTCTGTAAATAGTTTCAACTATGAATCTTTCTCTCGGGTTAAATCCATTAATCTTATGGATACTGCCTTGGGTGTTTTGCACGACTCTACTGGTTGTGGGTTCCTCAACGCCATTTACGGTATGACACCTCCCCTGTGTGTGAGTTCAATTTCGTCTAACTGTTAGCACGAATTTTTACGAACTTTTGCTTTCGCTTTACCGTCGCTTTTTGCTTTTGCAATTTGCTATTTTTCCGTTTGTTCTTTTGCAAAGGACAAGTTCGACATTTCAACTTTGACAAGACATTCTTGCATATGATGGAACGAACTTATCCTGAACAGATGAACAAATCTCGAAGACTCAATACTTCTACACCTCTGGCCAATAATCGTTTCAGTATCGATCTCGTCTGGGCTCCACAGACAGTACAGCTAGCGGATCAAGAACACGAACATCCTATACACCATCCTTCGCCATCTCATACGTTAAGCCACAAGCGGATGTTCAACCAAAACACATCATGTCTAAGTAATGATGTTTTTCCTCCTTCTTTTGCATCCACCCTCTCTTTTTCAGAAGATTTATCGTCATAGTTGCCCATAAGAAACCTCCAACTTTAGGAATCATCACAACTTTCATTTCTAGGGCAACTCTTGACGAAGTATAATAATTTTCGTCTTTAGGAGCTATTCGCCAATTCGACAGCGTGATGAAACCTACAAATCTCTTATAACTGCAGAGAAACCACCACACACAAAGCTGAAGACTCCTGATTTACTGAGCACAAGGTAGATAATGCATACTTTTTATGCTTTGCCTCGTTTAGATGAAAATATTCTCATGACTTTTTCTTTCTAGCCAGGAGTCACTGCGCGAAGAAAGAAAACTACATCCCGGAGTTTCGTCAGCGCCCAAAAACCCTTCAATTCGAGAAAGCAGTTTGGAAGCTGAACCAGAGAAACCAAAAAAGAGATCTAGTAAGGAACGAAGTGAGCACTGTGGATATGAAGATTTGCGCTTTTCTGCAGAAACTGTACAAAAAAAGCTATTCACAAAGTCATTTTCTGCACAAAAACGTAGCAAACTTTGTGAACACACGTCTCTTCGTCATACTTTACAATAACAACGTTTCTGTTGAATTAAGCCGCACGACGAAACTCTCGACAGCAAGCTTACACCCAAAGTTCATCGAGTGAAGAGGAGATGGATCGATCAGTGACCAGAGCTGATGCAAAACGACGAAGACGACGAAGAAAGGAGTCGTCAGCAGAGAGAGGTGGGCTAACAGTGCCCTAATTCTGCTAAACTACTGACAACCTCGAATTCATTTCGATCGGAGAAATCGACAAAAGCTCTTTTCTGGCAAAAAA